TAAACTATGTTGTGAAGTATTTATTTAAAATCAAAATTTTGATCTCAAAAATTGGGATGTTACAAGTTGGTATTAGAGCCTTGGTTTGAGAGATTCGGACACACCCTCGGGGGTGTCTGAACTCAAACCAATGGCTTGAAAGATTTTTAGAAGGAATTAGTTTTTCTAAAATCTAAATTAAAGAGTTTTGAGAAAGAACGAGGTGTGTGATGCGTGCGACCGATTGAGCTCAAGTAAGTTTTCCCCAAAAAACCCATACTTGTTATGTTATATGATATGATTACGAAAACTTCATGCTAGATTAGTGCTAAGGATCTAGGAGGATGTCTTGTATGCCTGTTATGTGTTTATGAGATCTGCATGCTAAAATAGGGCTAAGGATCTAGGAAGGATGCCTTGTATGCCTGCTATAGGAGCTCATTGAGTCGTATGTTAGAGCTGTTAGTTAGTAGTGAGATCTGCCTTCTCTACCTCCATAGTTACCAGTGAGATCTGCAATGAGGATTTTTGTGGATATTTTCAGAATTTTTGTGGATTTTTATTGAATTTTAGGGATTTTTAGAAGCTTCAAATCAACACGTTTTGGTCACTCCCCCCCCCCCCCCCAATCATGCGCCCGACATCTGCCTTCTCTACCTCCATAGTTTTTCCATCTGCTTTGCCTTTCCTAATGCACCACCGCTTCTAGATTCTCTCAATCTACCGTCTCAGTTCTCTCTTTGTATATTCCTCGTTTTCTCAAAAACTATCACCCCAAAATCATCTTTTTCCTTTCATGCTTCGTTCTGGATCACAACAGTTTAAGGAGAATAAAAATTGATAAGCCCATGTTTTATTTTTGCTTCATTCTTTTCTCGATTAGATGTTTATGCTTGAAAAAGAGGAACTTTAATGTTTATGTTTGAAAAAGAGGAACTTTAAAACCTTGAAACGCACAGAGGATCGCCAATGTCAAGTTCCTTATTCGTTTGCCCTAATTAGATATCAATAATATTGGTCGTTTAATTTATTGGAGGTGTACTGGGAAAGATAAAATGAACAAACTGTCGGGGGAAGAACGTCTTTGATCCTTAAACAATTACATGTACTCTCTCTCTCTCTCTCTCTCTCATGCTTGTTGTTTAGATTGGGGTGTTCTGTTCTTTGGGATTTTTGCGATTTCTTATCTGGTGGACAAATGACAAAAGTGGATAAGTTTGAGTTATACTTTTTCTTCCTTTGTAGCTACCGCGTTCAACACCGCATCCTTCACATTTTTATTTTTACTTCATATCTCCTTAAGTTTCACTTAAAGATATCACCCCACCCACTCTGCTCTCTTTTCTTATATCTTCTTCGGTTAACGACATCTTGCCTGACTAGGGTTCCATGTCGCATGTGTTTGGTTCTCCATGTATTTGTGAAATGATGGCATAAACTTTTTGAGGTATTTTATGATGGGATTTGGAAGGAAATAGCTTAAAATGTATAGAAACCCTTCCTAGGTGTTTTAGTTTTTCTTATACCAGATAAATGATGTTTAAGAAACCTATAAGGGAAGCTTTATTTCCCATTCTTTTCATGTTAAGTCGTTATTGTTACTTGGTAGTTGCCATTGGAAAGATTATAGAAAAAGAAAGTTAAATATTTGATTTAAAAGAATTTGAAGCAGTAAAATGGAGATTTAGAGGGCTATTGTCATGTGAGGAGGGAATGTTAGTTGTTCCTAATGCCAATAGCAAGTCAATGATGCAACATGTATGTTGTTACTCTGTTAACTATTTTTATTAGTTTGCTTGAATAGAAACTATATGAATATGATATGATATTAGCAATCACTCATTGAACTAGATTTGTTCTTTTTACCTTGTGTTAGGTTGGTATCATATGAGCTATGGTTGGTCCACATGTTGCAGCGAAGGCTGTTAATATAGCCCTTGAAGAAAATGAAATTCCAAAAGAAATAGTTGATAATTAATAAAAGGGACACGTTTATGCTTTTTCACACCAATTAATGATTCAGAGAGGTTATTATCTTTTTATCTTGATAAGTTATAGTAGTTGTTTCTTTTTCAAAATACAATGCCTTAAGGAAGGGAAAAAAAGTTTATTGCTATTTTACAACATTTAGTCGGTTATAATTACAAGCTTCGTATCGTGTATTTAGTGAAAATAGATTTAGATCTTGCATTCAGCCTGTTATAACTACAGTCTTTCCTAAGATAGTTAAACGACTTTGCATCTTGCATTTAGTAGATGTCATTTTCAGTACCATCTAACATCCTATTTTCAGTGAAAATGATTTTTTTTCTTCAAAATAACATGCTTGAAGGAAAGATATAAAGTCATTTTTACTGTCTGACATCTCATTGCTATATAATATGTATATATGTATTTATATATGTATGTATTTGTATCTTCAACTTACCAATTAAGCTTATTACTCCAAAATGTTCTAAACTTCGACTCCTTTGGGCCTTAATAGTTTAGGTTCAGTAGCATAAAATAAATGAAGGACTTTACATGATTGGACTGACGGATGAAATATTCGATCTTTCTTGGTTTATTGCATATGCTTTATAGGTGAGCTTTTTTTAAATAAATTATTGTTATTCCCTTGTTTGTGCTCAAGATGAGCTCACTTTGTAGTCAATTACTTAAATTGTACAAGTCGTAACGTTTTTAATTGTTCTATGTTTAGAATGCAGATTAAATCACAAGGGCACCAAGAAACTAACCAAATCCACTTCCAGTTCTTGCAAGTCTTGCAAAATATGGTAGTAAATTGGCCACAAAGAAAAGAAAATGGGTGGTCCTACTTTAAAAGGATGTCACTCTCGCTATTGGTGTTAGTTGTTGACACTCTTCACGTTTACTATGGAAATGAACTAAAACAATTCTTTCTGGGAATTACCAAATTTATCCCAAATGTTTTGTTTGCTGTAGCATTCTACTTTCATTCTTCATATTGTAGAGTTCTCTCAACAGACCCTTGAAATGGCATGCTAATTTTCACCAATTATACTTTTGATTCTTTATCATCGGTTACAATAGATGAAATATGAGGGTGACTATCTTAGCATTGTACTTTCGATTTTTCCGAACATATTTGCATCATTGACTTCCGTTTCATTAAGGAGAAAAAAAATAAAAAAAATAAAAGGATTGATAAGAAAATTATTGCTCTTGAGATTATTTATTAAAAGGAATAGGAGAGAAATCAAATAACTAATCTTCTTTATAAATTGTCCTTTTAAACGAGGAGGAAGTGGAGAGAAAGTAAAAAGAAGATCATCCCCTTTCTTTACTTTTCTCTCATTTTTTTTTTCCTTCAATCAACTCAAAAACCAAGCTTTATGGTAAATGAATATATAGATTTAAGAGTATACTTAACATGCATGTGATTATAAAAACTAAATCATTATTAATTGATATAAAAAACTCTATCGATAATGTAATTAAACATTTAAAAAAAATAAAACTACATTTAATGTATTTAGTAATGAGTCCTTTTTATTTTGATTGTATTTTATTATCAAGATGAAGCACCTATTCAACTATCAAGTGTAAAAATAATTGCCAACATCCACCTCGCCTTTACACCATTGAAATAGAGTCCAATGTTGTGTTTTCACTTTTAAAACGATTTTAGATAATTACCTTGATGAAAAAACATTTTCTATTCACGGAAATAATTAATAACTGAGTTTATAATTAAAAGAATAATCGAAGTTGAGAAAATAGTAAATAAAATTTTCTGCTAATTATTCCTATAGATGATCTCGGTCAATATGTCTTTTGTGGCATGTTGGACTATCCTTCAATCCTACCTCATGATTCATTTATTCCTGATTGACAAGATATGCATAGTTTGCCGTAAGGCATGCGTAGATACTTTTAGGGAATATGTAGTTCATTGTAGAGAGCTCCCTAGCTTCAAGTATCAACATGATGCAGTTATAGATGTTTTCTTTGATGTATGTCAGTATGCTAGTATTTCCATCAAGAAAGAAGCGGTTGTAAAACTTTTTGATTGACCTGTTGGAATGAATATCCACATTTAGACCGACTGATATTTTGATCTTTAGATGGGCAAGATGGAAGAACGGTTGTGTGGATCTTACTAGGGGTTCATCTCTCGTGGGTTTGAGGAGTGAGGGTTTCATAACGGGACCTACTACTTTAAAAGTCGTCGCATGCAAATTGACAAAACACAAGAATGCATGCATTGAAAATCAACATGTGTTTATCCCTTTCTCATTTCACATATTTGGTTTTCTCACACTAGAGGCACTGAAATTCCCCAATAGAGTCCAACGAGTCATTCATAGTAATGTTATATTTTCTAAATCTACAAGATGTTTTCAAAAGAATTAGTTTTGCAATGCAAAAATGAGTAGCGGCAGTGACAGACTTAGGGTGTCCCGGGCCACCACTCTGATTCTAGCCATTATTATAATTTTTTTTTTCTATTAAGTGCAACATCATGAAATATAAATGTCACTACTATTTTAGATTTCTTAGATTTTTTTTTTGTTTCCACTACTCAAACTTTCTACGTCCGGCACTGACTAACGACGTGACTTGTTGCCCGATTACCATCTATCTATCTATATATATTGAAATAAAATATTATATTTTTTCTAATTCCTAATTGTGAAATTCTCATTTGTGAGTTGTTACCGTAATATCATGTCACAATTTTTTAATAGTGAATTGTTTTTATGCCATTTTTAGATAATTATTTCATTTTAAACAACGTTATCCATTTATGAAGATAATTATAGTTTAGATTTTCTATTTAAAAAAATAGTCAATATACTTGAGAATAAATAATAAAGGGTGAATTTTTTTTTTTTTTTATTTTATTTTATTTATATTTCTAGATGTCAAATTCTCATTTATGAATTGTAACATCGATCATGTCAGGGCGAAAGAATTAAATATAATTTCTCGTAGACAAAAACTGAAAAGTTAGAAATAGTTCAGGGACCAGAATAGTAAATGATTGAACCAAGGCCCGAGGGTTTAAACTTTAAATCACTATAATCAATCCACCAAATTAATTTGTTTCTTTTAGACTCTTGACCTAGCCAAATTTCCCGGCGACTGTAAACGTCAATGGATTCCGACGTGACGATGGTTCCGGCCAGTGACGCATCTAGTCTTCCAGGACCTTCTTCATCTTCAGCCGTGGCCTCTTCTTCTTCGAAGAAACCCAAGCGTTTTGAAATCAAGAAGTGGAACGCCGTCGCACTTTGGGCTTGGGGTTAGTTTTGCAAATTCCCAATTCTGATTTTTCGTCTGTTGTGATTTCAATGACGATTTGATGCTCTTCCTATGCAGATATCGTGGTTGACAACTGCGCGATCTGTAGAAACCACATCATGGATCTATGTGAGTGTAGTTTACTAAAAAAAATTAATTCCACTTCTTCGATCGATATAGTCTTATTACTTCTGTGTTGTTTTGAATTTTGATCAGGTATCGAGTGCCAAGCTAATCAGGCCAGCGCTACCAGCGAGGAGTGTACTGTGGCTTGGGGTAAGCTTCCGTGCTTGAACCCTAATTTTTTCCAATAGTATTCCCATATCCTTTTTAAGTATTGAATTATGTGTTTGTGAATTTCGTTGAGGATACTTTTTCCCCAAATTTTGTGAAAGGTTTGTGATTCTTCCACTAATTCATCCACATAAAATATGTTTCACTGAGTTATATGATAGCTATAATGGTGTTTACCTTATGTGGATGAATCAGTTTTCTTAAGTGGAAGAATCGCAAGAACTTATGAAAGGGGAATGAGTGCTTTGGATAATTTGCTGTGAATTTTGCTATAGATGATCATTAATTATTTCAGAAAGCAAAAAATCTTAACGAGTTAGCCAATTTTAGCCATAGAGTTGATTTAAGCCACCTGTGAAATTAGCTAATTCCCCAATATGGACTATGAAATAGGCTTCTTTTCGGCCCATATCCAGCCCAATAATGTGTTGTATAAAAATTACAAATTTGAGCCAATTTCCCTTCTATGGACTATGAAATAGGCTTATTTTCGCTACTTTTGTAAAATTCTCTTAAGAAATATGTTAACATCCATAATCATGCTTACAATGCTTCTTCATATTTTGACAGGTGTATGTAACCATGCTTTCCATTTCCACTGCATTAGCCGCTGGCTAAAAACACGCCAAGTTTGCCCTCTTGGTACCCAACCATCATCCTACTTCTATATTCAACTTTTATTTAATAATAACAATTTACACCCACACACCATTTATTTAATTAAAATTGTTTCAACTTTTATTTCTATAGATAATAGCGAGTGGGAGTTCCAGAAATACGGTCACTAGATATAATCGTACTGGGCAGGCGGGCAGCAGGTAGCGGGCAGGGGCAGAGACGTTTGTTAATGGAAATGGAAATACTCGTACTTTTGTTAATGTCGTAATGAAGGAATATCATGAGATTGTGTAATTCGTAGCATGTTTTAAAGTTTCTTATGCAAAGAATAATCTAAAATCAACTAGAAAAATATCCATATCGTACATATAATTATATCAATAAAAGCATGAACACGGGTTACAACAACAACGACAAAATGAACATTTGGGGCATGATGGATTGCAACTACAGGTTATCTCGGGACACTTACAGTGTCCCGAGATACGTGGCTTCTTCTGTTGGGTGCTGCCAAAGCAGCAACAACAGTTTGCTGACGGGCAGCATCTACGGTTGCTTTTTGTTTTGCAACAACCACAATAGCAACAACACAATAACATGGAACCGAACTTTTTCCTGATTTATTTAAGTTTTCCAAGAAAAAGAGATTATGATTAGTAGGGGATTAGTTCATATATAATGAAATTGGTTAAGTTTTTGAAAGATGTTGCATATGCATATATGTTATTTGCTTACCCAAGATTCCTCCACAAGTTTCTTGATCTACCATGAGTATGCTTTGTGCTACAATATCAACAATTACCATGTATCAGCTTTTTCTCTCTATCTATTTACATTTACTTTTGAAGCTATTAACTATAGTGCTTAATGACGTGGATGAAGGTACAAAACTGAAAACAAATGATTACAGTTGAAATTCTGAAAAAATAAAAACCCTTTTTGAATTAAAGTTAGATTGCTTGTAAAATAGCTTATACGTTATTTTTTAATAAATTACTTGAAATAGCTTATTTTTCTAAAAACTAGCTTATAAATCGAAAACAATGTAAAGTAAAACTAGCTTATAAATTGAGATCAATGTATTAATATATATTTTCACATACGTTAGAAGATATAAAAAAACAAAATGGCAAAAAATTAGTCCAAACTGATTTTTAAACTTACGCTTCATTTTTGTTTTTATTTTAAATGAAAAATAATTCGGAAAACCATAACAGAAAAACCCAAAAAGCAAAAAGAAAAAAAACGATAATAAAAGTAATAATAATATTATTGGTTTTTAATGAAAAGTTAATAAAGAATTTTTAGATAGATTATTGATTCTCATTTATTTTTCTAAAATAAATGGGAGTCAATAATCATGTTTCATGTTTAACTCGTAAAATATGAACCTAAATACTTTATTTTATAAAAAAAGTTGATGTTATTCTAACCGACGTCTTAGAGCACAACTTTTATCAACCAACATTTTCTCGAATATATTAATACGAGAGATTTCATATTTAGTTCTTAAAAAATATAATATGACCAACTAGTTATAAATAATAACAAAATATAAATAAAATATAAATCCATTATGATATATATTTTTTGTGAAATAAACAATAAAACAAAAGATATTAATTATTTTTTAATAAATAATAATAAAGTAATGTAAAGTAAAAATTAATTGATATGATAGAAAGTAAAGATTTAAATTAATTTTACACTTTACAATATTTTCTTTGCTCTTTTTAAGTCTCTATACGTAAAACCCGATTAATTTAGTAAAATAAAAAGTATTTATTATGATGAGGCTTCAATTGAATGGTTTCTTTGTCACAAAGAAATATAATAACTTGAAATAAGCCAACAAATAGGATTATTGAGAGCGTTTATAAATCATAATTATTTAGCTACTCATAAAACTTTATCATAATCAATCAAAAATTTGTTGTTATCTATAAATTCTCTATGGATTTAAACTCTACTTACTCTAGCTATTTACCTATTTAGTGTTTTCAAAATTTATTCTTGACTAAGTCAAGAACCTCGGTCAAATTTTAGAGTTTCGAAATTGCTCGACTTAACTATCTAATTTTTTCATGATTTTAATCAGAAAATGTTCTTTTCGGTGTTTAAACAAAAGAAAACAAAATTATAATAGTTTTTGATGAAATTTGTCTCTCATTTTTCATTTACAAGAAAAATACATGTTTTTGTAAGAATAATTAGAAAATATATCTCATAAAATAATAGATTTTCACATTTGAAAACATTGATTATCCCATAAACTTATAGCCAAAAAATCTTACATTGCTATGAGCGGATCTGGAGTAGCTTCTACAAATTCGTCAAGCCTGTATGCAACATTCATCGATCAACATAAGCAAAAATATAAATAAATAAAAGAACAAGTTATATACTTGGAGAATATGAAGATAGGCGTACTCTTTGCAGCATCTTGATGCAAGTTCGAGCTCTGCAAGTGATTTTATCTCCTCCTGTTTACAATCATATAATTACAATCAGCAAAATTATTCAACCCTAGGAAATTAGGGGTAAATGTTGAATCCGGAATCACATTTTCAACCAATTCGTAATTGTTATTGTCAACCAATTCCATTGACATTTCAAGCAATTTATGCTAAAATCGAATCCAGATAATCCAATAACATGCACAAGTTGAGGTTTTAAACAGAGAATCGTATTGAAAAGAGTAATGTTGGATTTATATAACCTGTAGCAAGCTAATTTCTCGATCGAGCACCTGAACTTTGGCTATCTGGCGGCGTTTTCCATATAAATCGACATAGACGACGGAAGAAGGAGATGAAAGAGGGGATATGGAGGAAGAAGACGAATCATTTGAAGTCCCACCATTAATCGCCATGAGAATTGATAGTTGAATTGGTTAATGGTCGTGTGGTTAAAGGAGAGTGAATCTGTGTCAGAGATGGTGGGCACAATCGCCATTAACCGATGAGACGTAAGAGAAAGTAGTGGGGGTTTTGTAAGAACCTTTTTTTTTTTTTTTTTTTTCGCTTTAAGAGGCCATGTGGTTGATGCTGTCTGCGCAGTTCTCCATTGTCACGTGCGTCCTTCTTGTCTTGTTTGTCTATGTAGTAATCATATTGTACTTCTTGCATTAATCATTGTACCCATAAGTAGGACTAGTTTAATGATTAGGGTTTGAAATGAAATATATTTGGTTAGATGGTTTTTGTAACAAGAGACTGGTGTTAGTAACATTCAAAAAAAAATTTAAAAGGTAAATTAACTAATCTAGTCTTAAATAATTATTTATGACTTCATCGAGACTTGAACCCATAACCTCTCATATGAGATGGTCACTCGATACCGTTAGGCCACTGACTCTTTGGTAACATTCAAACTTTTTCTTTAACATGTCTATACAATATTGTTATGTTATAAAATAAGTAGTTTCAAATAGCGATAGGTGTGATTTAAGATAGGTGTGATTTAGTGGCAATATCAAACTTTTAAGTTTTTTCGAGCTGTGACGACCCTATCGTTAATAAGGCGTGACATAAGGCGACAATTTTATTATATATATATATAATGCTATTATTTATTTTTATATACATATAACTTAATACGACATTTTGTGACGAACTTTTTACAACGTTAACTTGAAGTGAAGGTGGTATTCACATGTTATAATATGATATTAACACACACACATATACACACACACACAGAGAGAGAGAGAGAGAAACCAATGGCTTTTCCCATTTCAATATGTTCCACCAACATGTCTTAACATAACATGAAGTTTGCGAAGTGTTGATTTACTCTTAATGATGTTATGGTACACTACATAGGACTCTCAACCCCTCTTAACATACCAATATCCACTACTCTTATAGTTTGGTAAAAATTGGATATTATAATAAAACATTAAAATTATCATATTGGTCTTGATATAAATAATGTAAAAGTAGTTGCTATTTTAAAACAAGTTCATTTTCATTCCACCAAGATACACAAAAACATTATTTTGATTTGTTTTATTCAACATAGAAGGTTAAAATATCATCACCAACCCCAACTCTGTTCGACATTAAGTTGACTGGCTAGGTCATTAATTTTAGCTAACTCGGTCTGATCAATTTGTTTGATAAGTTCGAAATCGTTTATCTTGTCAACAATCCATGATCTATCTGCTTACTCGATCCATTGTTGAAATGTGACCGACCTACAATAAAGAACTATGTGCTCGAAAAAAAACATATCTATAATCTCTTTAACGATCGACTCTTCCTCCTTTCCTTTATATACACATAACCTTGAAGCAGTTCTCCCCTCTAGCCAGTTCGAAACCGCCTTCTGAAGCATAGCCGTCGACCTCCACATGTATTTTGCTTCGTCTTTGTTTTTTTTTTTCTAAAATCATTTAGGAAACTGATGTTGCCGCTTCTATATGTTTGTTTGATGGATGAAATCATAATTACCTTTTATGTTCTTACTTCTATTGGTATGTTTTATGTATAAAAATTTGGAAAAGGCTTTAATTTCTTTGTATGATGCATAAAATCAGATTGTATGATGTATGAAATCAGGATTTGTTAAAATCTTGGTATGAAATCAAAATTTGTTATTGTATGATCTTTGATGCTACGCTCATTTTATGATCCTATACTTACCATGTTGGTGGTGGTTTCCTACATGCAACCTGTTAACATAAACAAGAACATCAAGAGCTATCCTGGGGCCACCCTTGATATTGCTCTCCAATGCATTAGTCAAGTGAGATTGCATGTTTAAGTAGAGAATTGTTAGTTCAACTTAAGTGATCCTTAGACAATCCGAGACAACCAAGATTTGAGATGATTGAAGATTTAAAGTTGTTATTGTAACGCCCGCAAATTCGGGCTGGACATTGAAGATATAATAAATAAATCTTAGCTAAAGATGTAGTCGTAATGACTAGGAAAAAGATATAAAGAGTATATAAATCCGACTTTGTATGAAGAAGTTATCTTTCTTAGAATCTTTATGATTAAACCGATATAGCCATGCGCGTCGTGAATAGTGAGTCAGAGATAGATTGGCTATTAGCCCAAGTAGTCTAAATGAAAGTCACAGTAATCGTAAAAGCAAGAACATACTTATAGAGAATGTCCAAATCTGACTTCATATAAGGAAGTTATGATTTTCAAAGTTTCAACATAGTAGTATGCGACATAGAAACCGAAATTTATATCAGTTGATTGTTAGGCAAAATAATCTAAACGAGAATAGAAGATATCATGAATAGGAGTCTGTCGATATAAAGACAGCCGGAAACGGATGTCGTATGGAAGAGTTACAGTTTTTATACGAACTTTAACAGTCTAAGCCTGCTAAAAATTTAACATTAAAAATAAAGTGAGAATTGGCTGACAGAGTCTAAGTGAAGGTTGTAGTACTTATTGATAGCTATGTGTGGATATAAAGAACATAAAAAACGGAGCTCATATGAGAAATATATGATTTTTTTGAAGATTGTCGAAAGGTGTCATGCGCAGATAGGCACAATGCGTGCTTCTAGAAGCCATAGGTTAGTGAAGGGCTTTGTAAAGTAATAAATAAGAGGTTGTGATGGGTTAGTGAAGGGTTGTGAAATAATAAATTAGAGATTGTGATAGGTTAGTGAAGGGTTGTGCCAAATAATAAGTTGTGTTTACCCAAAGTACTAACTTATTGTTACACTTACCCAAAGTACTAACATACTTATATGTTTACCCAAAGTACTATCATACCGTTGTGTTTACCCAAAGTACCATCGTATTGTGGTAACCTATAATACTATTGTATTGTTGTGTTTACTTGAAGTACCATTGTGCTCTTTTCTTACTTAAATTATTATCGTAATGTTATGCTCACCTCAAATACTATTGTACGATCGTACCTAGTCATTTAGAAAAGTATTAGTTAGTAAAAGGTTGTGCGAAGTAATAAGTTATGAACTGCAATGTTATGACCAAAATATTATTGTACTGCTATGCTCACCTAAAGTACTATAATACTACTGTGCCTAGTTATCTAAGAAAGTATCGACAACATCCACTGTATATAAAGATCCTTTGAGAGAGATCCCTCAAGATAATTGTTTTAGGATTAGGAAGTGAGGATAATCGGAATGTGTATTTGGGTAATTTGATTGCTGAAAAATATATAATTAAAGATTATAATATTGCAGGTTGAAAACCCTATGTGCTCACCAGGTTTCCTAACCTGACACACTCGGTTTCTTTGTATCATAGGTATCAATATAAAGGTACATGGATAATGATATGGTGAGAGATCCGAGGAGATATAGGCTATTAGTATAATAAGATATTGTAAGGCCTGTAATGAATATGTTTATGCTTATGTTTCTAGTATCAGTTATGACATCCCAAGTTTTTTTTTGTTATAATTAACGAAAATCATTTCTTGGGAAATACTTTTATGGGAAAATTTCCAAAATATAAAGAATAATTTGTTTTAGAATAAACATAAAGAAAAGGTTTTTTCGAGCAATAAAAATAAGGATGTCACAACTACCTTCTGAGATGACAGAGACTCTGATATTGAATAAGACTGAATGATTCGAGATTAGTATAGTTTTGTCAGTTTGTATTTTTTCTTATTTGATGTAACGCCTGTAGGATACATGGTCAAACATAACGATATGTCAGGTGGTTGATCTACAATTTACTTTTAGTATAAATGTCTCCTTTTGTGATTGGTTCTATGTAAGTATAAATCTGACCATCACCCCCATGTAATTCCTTACCTTTTACACACGATTTGAATCATCAATCAAAAAATTATTCAACCAATCATTCGATTTTTTTCTTATTCCTGTTCATACTTCTAATATTATTACTTACTATCTTGTTTACTTTGCTGTTCTATATCTTCAAGGCCTGACTGGTATTATCCAGACTTGACTAGAAAATATTATTTGCCTCTATTTTTGTGTTTATCTTAAGGTTTAAGTTATTAAACCATGTCCTAGTGTAACACCCCGTTCTTAAAATATCTATTGATGGGTTCCGGAGATCAAGAGTAAGGGCGTTTTGGTCTTTCATGAGCGATCGGTTATTATTCGGGAAGGTTTCGGATCGGGGTGTGCTGCTAAAAGCGAGGATCTTCTCGCCACCTTTCTGTGGATATAAAGTTCAACAGAATCGGATCTAGAATGAAGGAGTTATGATGCTTTAAAGATATTGACATTTATGGCCCAAAGTTATGAAAAAGACCATGCATGCATGTTGGGACACGCATGGGTACGCCCAACGTAAGCTAGGTCACGCCTAGCGTAATGGGGCAAGTTGGTCGCGGGTGTTCAAGGCGTATGCCCAACGTACGAGGAGTACATCCAGAGTCATTTAACCCTAATTTTTGGGACATCCATTATAAAAGGAACATAATGGTTATCACCCTAGCCTCGATAAACACTCTCTTATCCTCAAAAACCCTAGAGAGTTGTCCCACCTACATTATTGGGTGTGTTTGAACTTGGAGAACCCATTTTGGTGGATTAAAGCTTGGAAGCAAAGGGAAGAAGGTTGGTAAGGAGGAACCTTTGAAGCTAGAGCTTGTAGATCTGGGATAAGTGCTTCATTTCGGACCTCTGCAAGGTAAAAAGTCTTGAGCTTGATGATTAATCTCTTAGATCTCCTCTAGTACAAGTTTATGGACCTTTTTGGTCCCAAGTTTGGGTCTTAGCGGGTTAAGCTCGTTTCTAAGACCAGGGTTGCCTCCCTTAGAGTCATATGAGTCCCATAAGCAGTAAAGTTCCAACCTTTAGGGTTCTATTAAGCCCATGCATGAGATCTAGTCCTCTTCCTGGATGTATAAGATCATTTTGGAAGTTTGAGTTGGTTTGAACCATATTAA